TCTTTGGATATATACCCAGTAATGGGATTGCTGGGTCAAATGGAATTTCTCTTTCTAGATCCTTGAGGATTTGCCACACTGTCTTCCACGATGGTTGAACTAATTTACACTCCCAACAGTGTAAAAGTGTTCCTTTTTCTCCACATCCTCTCCAGCATCTGTTGTCTCCAGATTTTTTAATGATTGCCATTCTAACCGCCGTGAGATGGTATCTCAATGTGGTTTTGATTTGCATTTCTCGAATGACCAATCATGATGAACATTTTTTCATATGTTTGTTGGCCGCATATATGTCTTCTTTTGAAAGTGTCTGTTCATATCCTTCACCCACTTTTGAATGGGTTTTTTTCTTGTAAATCTGTTTTAAGTCTTTGTAAATTCTGGATATAAGTCCTTTGTCAGATGAGTAGATTGCAAAAATTTTTTCCTATTCTGTGGGTTGCTGGTTCATTCTAATGATTGTTTCTTTTGCTGTGCAGAAGCTCTTAAGTTTAATTAGATCCAATTTGTCTATTTTGGCTTTTGTTGCCATCATTTTTGGTGATTTAGTCATGAAGTCCTTGCCTGTGCCTATGTCCTGGATGGTGTTGCCTAGATTTTCTTCTAGGGTTTTTATGGTATTAAGTCTTATGTTTAAATCTTTAAGCCATCTGGAGTTAATTTTAGTGTAAGGTGTACAGAATGGGTCCAGTTTTAGCTTCTTGCATATGGCCAGCCAGTTTTTCCAACACCATTTATTAAACCGGAAGTCCTTCCCCATTGCTTGTTTTTGTCAGGTTTGTTGAAGATCAGGTGGTTGTAGATGTGTGGCATTGTTTCCGAGGCCTCTGTTTTGTTCCATTGGTCTGTATCTCTGTTTGATACCATACCAGTACCATACTGTTTTGATTACTGTAGACTTTTAGTATAATTTGAAGTCAGGTAGTGTGATGCCTCCAGCTTTGTTCTTTTTGCTTAGGATTGTCTTGGCTATGCAGGCTCTCTTTTGGTTCCATATGAAGTTTAAAGTGTTTTTTTCCAGTTCTGTGAAGAAGGGCAATGGTAGCTTGATGGGGATAGCATTGAATCTATAAGTTACTTTGGGCAGTATGGCCATTTTCACAATACTGATTCTTCATAACCATGAGCATGGAATATTTTTCCATCTGTTTGTGTCCTCTCTTATTTCCTTGAGCAGTGGTTTGTAGTTCTCCTTGAAGAGATCTTTTACATCCTTTGTTAGTTGTATTCCTAGGTATTTTATTCTCTGTGTAGCAGTTGTAAATGGGATTTGCTCATGATTTGGCTCTTTGTTTGTCTGTTGTTGGTGTATAGGAATGCTTGTGATTTCTGTATATTGATTTTCTATCCTGAGACATTGATGAAGTTGCTTATCAGCTTAAGAGGGTTTTGCGCTGAGTCAATGGGGTCTTCTAAATATACAATCATGTTGTCTGCAAATAGGGACAATTTGACTTCTTCTTTTCCTAATTAAATGCCTTTATTTCTTTTTCTTGCCTAATTACTCTGGCTAGACCTTCCAATAATATTGAATAGGAGTGGTGAGAGAGAGGGCATCCTTGTCTAGTGCCAGTTTTTAAAGGGAATGCTTCTTTTTTTGCCTGTTTAGTATGATATTGGCTGTGGGTTTGTCATAAATAGCTTTTATTATTTTGAGATACATTCCATTGATACCTACTTTCTTGAGAGTTTTTAGCATAAAGAACTGTTGAATTTTGTCAAAGGCCTTCTCTGCATCTATTGAGATAATCATGTGGTTTTGTCTTTGATTCTGTTTATGTGGTGGATTACGTTTATAGATTTGCACGTGTTGAACCAGCCTTACATCCCCAGGAGGACACTTGCTTGATCATGGTGGATAAGCTTTTTGATGTGCTGTTGGATTCGGTTTACCAGTGTTTTATTGAAGATTTTTGCATCTATGTTCATCATGGATATTGGCCTGTAGTTTTCTTTTTTAGTTGGGTCTCTGCCAGGTTTTGGTATCAGGATGATATTGGTCTCATAGAAAGAGTTAGGGAATATTCCCTCTTTTTGTAGTGTTTGGAATAGTTTCAATAGGAATGGTAACACTCCTCTTTGTATGTCTGGTAGAATTCGGCTGTGAACTCCTCTGGACCTGGACTTTTTTTGGTTGGAAGGCTATTAACTGCTGCCTCAACTTCAGACCTTGTTATTGGTCTATTCAGGATTTCAACTACTTCCTGGCCTAGTCTTGGGAGTGTGCAAGTGTCCAGGAGTTTATCCATTTCATCTAGATTTACTGGTTTATGTACATAGAGTTGTTTGTATTAATCTCTGATGGTAGTTTGTATTTCTAAGGAATCGGTGGTGATCTCCCCTTTATCATTTTTTATTGCATCTATTTGATTCTTCTCTCTTTTCTTTTTGTTAGTCCAGCTAGTGGTCTATTTTGTTGATCTTTTCAAAAAACAGCTCCTGGATTTTTTGAAGGGTTTTTTGTGTCTCTGTCTCCTTCAGTTCTGCTCTGATCTTAGTTATTTCCTGTCTTCTGCTTGCTTTTGAGTTTTTTTAATCTTGCTCCTCTAGCTCTTTCAATTTTGACGATAGGGTGTTGATTTTAGATCTTCTTGTTTCTCATGTGGGCATTTATTGCTATAAATTTTCCTCTAGCCACTGCTTTAAATGTGTCCCATAGATTCTGGTACCTTGTGTCTAAATTCTTGTTGGTTTCGAAGAACATATTTATATCTCCCTTCATTTCATTGTTTACCCATTTGTTATTCAGGAGCAAGTTGTTCAGTTTCCATATGATAGTGCAGTTTTGAGTACTTTTCTTAATCCTGAGTTCTAATTTGATTGCACTGTGGTCTGAGAGACTGTTTGTTATGATTTTTGTTCTTTTGCACTTGTTAAGGAGTGATTTACTTCCAATTATGTGGTTAATTTTAGAGTAAGTGTGATGTGGTGCTTGCATATCCTTATTGACTTTCTGTCTTGTTGATCTGTCTAATATTGTCAATGGAGTGTTAAAGTCTCCCACTTTTATTGTGCGGGAGTCTAAGTCTCTTTGTAGGTCATTAAGAACTTTATGAGAGCTTTATGTATCTGGGTGCTCCTGCATTGGGTGCATATATATTTAGGATCGTTTGCTCTTCTTGTTGCATCGATCCTTTTACCATTATGTAATGCCCTTCTTTGTCTCTTTTGATCTTTGATGGTTTAAATTCTGTTTTATCAGAGACTAAGATTACTACCCCTGCTTTTTTTTTGCTCTCCATTTGCTTGGTAGATCTTCTTCCATCCCTTTATTTTGAGTCTGTGTGAGTCTCTGCATGTGAGATGAGTCTCCTGAATGTAGCACAGCATTGGGTCTTGACTTTTTATCCAGTTTGCCAGTCTCTGTCTTTTGATTGGGTCATTTAGTCCATTTGCATTCAACGTTAATATTGTTATCTTTGAATTTGATCCTGCCTTTGAATTCAAAATACCTTTGAATTTGTTGCTGGCTGGCTATTTTGCCTGTTAGTTGACGTGGTTTCTTCATTGCATCGTCGTTCTTCACCATTTGGTATGTTTTTGCAGTGGCTGGTACTGGTTGTTGCTTTCCCCGTTTTTTACTTCCTTCAGGACTTCTTGTTAGGCAGGTCTTGTTGCGACGAAATCTCTTAGCAATTGCTTGTCCGTAAAGGATTTTATTTCTCCTTCACTTATGAAGCTTAGTTTGACCGGATATGCAATTCTGGATTGAAAGTTCTCTTCTTTATGAATGTTGAATATTGGTCCCTACTCGATTCTAGCTTGTAGAGTTTCTGCTGAGAGATCCACTGTGAGTCTGATGGTCTTTCGTTTGTGGGTGACTGGACCTTTCTCTCTGGCTGCCCTTAGGATTTTTTCCTCCATTTCCATCCTGGTGAGTCAGATGATTATGTGCCTTGGGGTTGCTGTTCTTGAGGAATATCTTTGTGGTGTTCTCTGTATTTCCTGGATTTGAATGTTGGCCTGCCTTGTTATTTAGGGAAGTTCTCTTGGATAATATCCTGAAGAGTGTTTTCCAACTTGGAATCTTTCTCCCTGTCACATTCAGGTATGCTGATCAAGTGTAGATTATAGGTCTTTTCACATAAACCCATAGTTCCTGGAGGCTTTGTTTGTTTCTTTTCACTCTTTTTTTCTGTAATCTTGCCTTCTTGTTTTATTTCATTGATTCGATCTTCTGT